ATCCTGTACGCATTCCTTGTCTCCCCCATTCGTGCTAAATGACCTGCCCACCTCATCCTCCTTGACTTGATCATTCTAATTATACTTGGAGAAGAGTACAAGTTATGAAGCTCCTCATTATGCTGTTTTCTCCAACCTCCTGTGATTTCATCTCTCTTTGGTCCAAATATTTTCCTCAACACCCTGTTCTCAAACACCCTCAGTCTATGTTCCTCCCTTAATGTCAGAGACCAAGTTTCACACCCATACAGAACCACAGGCAAAATTATAGTTTTGTATATTCTAATTTTTATATTTTTGGACAACAGACAAGAAGACAAAAGGTTCTGGACTGAATGGTAACAAGCATTACCTGAGTTCAATCGCCTCTTAATTTCCTCCTGAATCAGATTTTGATTTGTTACTGTTGTTCCCAAATATCTGAACTGTGCCACATTTGCAAAATATCTGTTTTCTATTGTTATGTTATGATTTTGCCCTGCATTTTGGTCATGAGAGAGCAACATATACTTAGTTTTCTCAGTGTTTACTTTTAGACCAACCTCTTTACTTGCGTGAATTAAAGTTTGTGTGTTTTTTCTATATGGTATCTACATTATCACCCAGTAGATTCACACCATTGGCACAGGCCAACAGCTAATGTGTCCCGTTTAATTTCAGTGCCACCTGGTTTCCCTGGACCTTCCTAATGGTATATTCTAAGGCAAAGTTGAAAAGGAGTGGTGATAAAGCATCTCCTTGTTTTAGACCATTCTGGATAGGAAATTTATCAGACAAATGTTTACCTACACAGACTTTACTATACATTTCGTTTAAACACATTTTAATCAACCTAACTAGTTTCATGGGTATCCCAAACTCTATCAGAATATTGTACGATACTTCCCTCCTAACTGAATCGTTGGCTTTCTTTAAGTCTATGAATAGCTGATGTACTGTCATCGTACTCCCATTTTTTTCTCCAATATTTAACAAATGCAAAAGATCTGATCTGTAGTTGATCTGTTACGTTGAAACCCACACTGATAATCCCCAATAATTTCATGGACTTAACCCTGAAAGAAGAATATTGGACAAAATTTTATATGAAGTTGATAGCAGTGATATCCCCCGATAATTACTATGGTCAGTTTTATCACCCTTCTTGTGAACTGGTACAATAATAGACTCCTTCCACTGATCAATACCGCGAACTTAAAACAATAAATGTTACCTTAGAAATGTTTAATTAAATGCTGAAGTCAAATAATACTTTAAATTATTTGAGATGAAAAATCTATGATAACTTCCTTATGATTATGTAGGTACACACTCAATAATGGTCTTAGGACCAAAATATGTCACGTTAACTGAAATACAAAGTTTTATGGATCTTTTATTTAGACAACTGTTAGATCTATTATGTAGTACCAAAGTATGAGTTCGAACATACAGTGCTTTCAGTACGTAAAATGTTAGTGTCATATGATAGATGACTGGTGAATTAGTGAGTAACAAATTAGAAGAGATGCGCAAGGAAGCAGCTGTGACCTAATATGAAGTACCATCATGGAATTTGCAAGGGGAAAGAAAAATCATACAAAATTGGTCACAATACCAGGTCCTCATCTCCCAGTGTGAAGTTGGATTGCTGGTACTTCACTGTATTTTGTAGGACTATTATAAATATAGTTCTTCTGTGATTTCACTTACATATAATACTTTTCTGTGATATATAAAGTTCATTATGCAATTCATATGCAAGTCTAACAAAGATGAGATTTTTGGCAATATATTTGAAAGCACTACTAAAGAAGAGTGAAGAGTCCTGCAAATTTATCTTCATTTACCTTTCTGGCGATAACTATGTGCTTCCTAAGTCACCAAGCACTAGAGGAGGAAATTCTCAATCCCCTTGAGATGTCAAGATTTTGTTCGATGCAATTGACCTGCAATTTGTTTTAAAAACCGACATTAATAATTTATGTACACCCCATTCATGAATAAAAAACTAAATGTTGGTCACCTACTTTTGATGTACTTTAACCCATGGTACGATACTATTCTACCTGTCCCTGGGTTGACATACAACAAACGCCATGACTATTTCCCTGCTTAATTATTACCATGCTACAGACCCAAAACACCCACTAACGTATTAATGTGATGACTCTTATCGTATTATCATTAATAATGAATCCGCATATGTATGATTATGATCCGTATTTGGTAGCAAATAACATAAAACCAGAGTTAACAAATAAATTGGGTTCTGGCTATTTCTCAGTTTTGGTATAACTACAGCGGAGCTGGAATGTTTAATCTATAATATAAATACCTATTTATGCAAGTCAAAAGCCTACTTTATCAGGCATTTTCTTCGCCCTTTCACGTTCACAAATTCACAAACACCAAATTAACTGACGCCTAACACGCTGTTTTAAACGAGCATCATACCGACTGATCACCAAACATTTACAAATGATATTTACCACCAATGACTACGTAGGTGACATTCACCATTCCGGTTCTTCCGGATTACATGCCGATCAATGTCATGGATGAACTACATAACGGATAATCAACAGAATGCTGTAGGGCGATGGGCACACTAAAGACGTTGGAAACCGAAACGCACCTCAGTTTCCGAAAAATGTCGTCGATTTCAAGCAGCAACTGGTTTCCAGATAGGCAGGCGCACACTGAGGAAACTTACGTTTGTTTAGTTGCTCACATCACCTCATGGGAGTGTGTTTGCCCGCCAATTCCGTGCACTGTTTTTCTTCAATGTCAGATAATAATAATAATAATAATAATGATCCTGTAATGTTATGGCAGTGGTTGAGACGATACAAGAGGAGAAGGCAGGAGAAAAGGAAACACAGGGTTCATCCATTCATTCACGACAATTAAAACTCAGGTGTTAATATTGTTTCGAAAAAACTTTAGCAGGTTCTAGAACTGTTCAAATCATTTTACAGAATGAGCATTTAAACTTTTTCTTTATTAGTGGATCTTGTAGGACCTCAAATTCGAAGACAAGATAGAAATTCTCGTACAGCTGTGTCAGCAGAAGAAAGACTATTGATTATTCTGAGGCAAGGAAAGTTATTTTTATTTATATACCAATTCTGTAGATCTCTAAACAAATACAATACCACAGCTAGACGTTTTCTCTTTACATTGTTTGTTATAACCAAAATGATGGCGATGATGGAAGGCAAAGAATGTCAAGGGTACAGCGCCTGCAAGATCAGCTGGCTGATTACTTCTTAACACCAGCAGGTGCAATTTCCTCTCAGTGGAGTTATATTAATTGAATTCAGCTGATAATTGTAAAGAATGAGGGCTAACCCAAATGCTGACTTGTGTCACAAAGTACGAACCAAATTGTTGTAGTTGTTGCACAAGAACAAAATTAGCAACTCCGTCAACTTGTGCCCTCTAAACAAAGAAAAGAATCACTGAAGTGCCCTACAGAACAGTTGATACTAGGAAACAACGCAGCAATGCAATTGTGAGAAAACTGGCATGCTCCGTTGCCTGGAAATTGAGTTTCTCAGTCCCCCCGCAAGGTGCGTTGCGTTTCCTCAATTTGCGCTGGTCCATTCACTAACAAGTGCTCAACTCGGGCTGATAACATTTCTCGGAACACGCAATTGCGTTGCGGTTGTCCGTTTCCTTGTTGTGCCCTCGGCCAAACGCTTGATTAGTTGCTAACATCATCTTAAGCGATCTTAAATGGGTAAGCGGCCTCCGTAGTCTAGAGGTAACGTTCCCACCTCATGACTCGTAGTACGCGGGTTCAAATACCCGGCGGAGGTCGTTGAATTTTTAAGGGCGGAAAAATTCAGGGAACAAGTCCTCCGGGAGGGACTTTAAGCCGTGGGTCCCGTGTCGTAGCTTTACGGCACGTAAAAGAACCTCATATCTCCAAAGGAGGTCACTGAGCCAAATTAACGGACGTTTCCCACCCAACAGCAGTCTCTAATACCTCTGGTAGATAGGGGAAGCATTATAGATACCTCTCAGCTAGTAGAGCCGGTCTCGCTGGCTGGGCGGGACTGATGGTAAGCACCAGTACCGGTAGCATATAGAGACTGGTAGAAATCATAGAGGGAAGCACAATGGACCAATACAGGTCTCAGTGCATGGGGAAACCCACCCTCTCCAATAACTAACTAACCAAGTGGGTATGTTCTTCCGACGTAATGCATGATTGTATTTTTTAATTTCGTGCTTTCACCTTCTGTAATGGAAGATAATAATACTGATCTTGTCATAATATGGTGGTATTTGAGACCGGTGGAGACGACATGAGAAGTGAGGACGACGACCACCCTCCTTCCGCGTAACATAGTTCGGCTGTATACGGCCATCATCATGTATCTTTTATCTCGCTAAATTTGTTGAACTGTATGACATTTCGTGTCGCGTATGAACGCGATATTTCCGGATTAAAACAAATTGACCTTAATTAAAACAAACTAATTAACGTCCCAATATTTTCCCGATGGTCGTCGTCGTCCTCTCTTCTCGCGTCTTCTCCACCGCTTTAAATTACCACCATATTATAACAGAATCAGAATTATTATTTTCCATTGTAGAAGGTAAGAGCACAAAATTAATAAATACAATCATGCATTACGTCGGACGAACATACGATGATGTAACTACTCAAACATAAGTTTCCTCAGTGTGCGCCTGCTAATCTGGAAACCAGTTTCCTGCTTGGAATACATATGCGACACTACTCACACATTGCGGTTGCGTAGTGGTTTCTACCTTGGTGTGCCCTCACCCTAAAACGAGGATGCGAATCTAAAAAAATTCAGTGATATTTCTATCAATGGACCTGAGTGTTTCTGGATCCACATCCGAATGATTAGTGTATGCCCCCTCAAAAGCCTCAAGAGAAAGTATCACAACAGGAGACCTACTGTTGTCTTCTACCACCGTGCAGCGAACAAATTAATAAAAATTATGGGATTGCCATCACATAGACGAACATTTGTTTGAATGACAATAACCCCCTTCTCTTTTATTTGTAAACAGAAACAGGCTGCAAAACTTCAAGCACAAATTAATATCAGAAAGACGTCAGGCAATATATCAGGGCATGTGTGCTCCTAAGTGTTCCACTCAGATAATATACAAGTTTCATGAAACGTATTGCGAAGCATTATGTCGGTTTAATCGCCACTGGTCCTCACCAGCACAGTTGGTTTCGGGTCCCACCAGGAACCATGATCATATTTTTTGTATTCAAGGTCATCTCTACAGCAAAAAGAAGGGTCTGACTACTGCAGGTCACTCCCCCACTAGTGGGGGCTGACCTGCGGCCTCGAACTGGGTTCTGTCGGTGAGGTATACTGCTGCTGGTTCTCGCTAGCACAGTGATTCTTGGTTCCGAATCCTTCAGGATTCATGCAGCTCGTGGTCATGTTTCACTGTCTCACGACTCTCCAATCGCTCCAATCCGCTCCAGTCCCAGTACGAGGTCGCGTAGTCGCTTTTCGTAATCCGTGGCAACTAGTGTGATGTGTGCAGGATGTTTGACATCGTGTACTCGACGTGACCAGTGTGAAGGGCTCTGTCGATATAAAGGATAACTACTATTCTGGTCGATTCTAGTTATAGTTCTGCCATCTATCATGTTCACAATTGAAGTCGTTTAAAACAAATAGAAAATATTGATTCTTCTTCTTGTCCTTAAACCCAGTAAAATTATCGGTATATTAATTAGCAGTGGTTTTATGCTTATGCCGAAAATATAATATTTGGGCTTATTCTTAGTGGTTAGTGGTCCCGTACTTGCTTTATGAAACCTCCCGGGTTTAATATGGCGGATAACAAAATATTTGGCATGTTAGTAAACGAATTCGTACTTCTCATTACACTGGCGAATTGTGCGTGATTTTCACTTGTAAGTCACCGTTGTATGAGAAGAAATGAGTGAATAGATTTTGATGTAATTTACAAAGTGTTTGCATATGCGTTAATTCGTGTTTGCTGGAAAGCGTCATAGATGAGCGGCCTTAGCATTGCAGTGGCGGCAGTGTTGTTAGCGATGTTTATTTTGTGGGTATAAAGAAAATTGAGAGTGGTGACTGGTATGTTAAAGTTTTGAAACAGTGAAGAAATGAGTTTTGGCATTTGTTTTCAGCACAGTAGGACATGAAAGCAGTACAGTATGAATTTGCATTTATCATTGCAATTTAACGCATTGGAGTATATTTATGATTGTGGTATTAACCATATTTCAGGCTGCTGACAAGATTACTCTTGTGATTGAGGAGTAACGTGTCTTGTGTCACTCACACAAGTGTTATTGTATGACACCGTTAGCCAAAACTCAATTTCCGACTCTCGAGTGTTGTGTGGTGTAAGAGACTCGTTACGTTAAATTATAAAGACATGATATTGATAACAGCTATTGGCACATACAGCATTTATGAAGGATTAAATGACGTTATCATGTTACAATTATTGCCGCATTTCTAAGATTTAGATAGAGAGGTAGAAATTGTCTGGCATGAATGACATTTTAAGAATTTTAAATCAGAATGTCAGTTTTTAATGAGCATCAGTTTGAGAAGAGACTGCAGTTGCTTAAGGACTCTCAAGAAAGTATACAGTCTTTGTCAACATGGTGCTTGCAGCATAGGCAGCATCACAAGAAGATTGTAGCGTGTTGGTTGCGTATTCTGAAGAAAGGTATGTCTTTTTAATGCTTAACTAATTTTTTCCTTCACACATAGGAACACAACATCACTGTTTCTCGTGGTTACAGTTAGCTTGGATCTGATGCATGTGCTAGTAACATTAATTCTTAAGGCTTTCTATGTATGAATGGGGACAAAAGGTAATGTAATAACGTTTATTTAGGTGCAAATGTTTGAGGCCAATGTCATTGAAGCTCCTTAAATCATACTGTTACTGTAAAATTAGAGGTAGCATTTTTACAGCCTGAAGTTTTGTACTCTCAAACATCATTGTCATTGGCAGAGGCATGGTTTAGGCTCTTCCAGAAGGCCAATTTTGATTTCAAGATGTAAGATTAATACAGTAAATTTAATAATGTTCTCTCCAGCTTTTATGTGAGCATCCTTGATGGTCTTTTGTGCTTCTGGGTTTGTAGTCTGAGCACAGTTTAGGAAATCTGGGTTCATTCTTCCTAGGTGTTGCTGTTTTGTTCGATAATTTTTAATTCTTGAATTTATGTCAGAAGTTTGTAGTTCATGTCACCTATTTTCATTGCATCTGTGTTTGGCCATTCAGTATTCTGGCATAGTTTCAGGAAGATAATTTGTACAGTTTCCAGTCTACCTTTTTGTTGTTTGTCAGTGTGCAGCAATTGGAGCCATTGAGAAGAGCTGATATTGCCATAATCGTAGAATTCAAATAGTGCCTCCCTTTCTAATGTTGCTGGCTAAGCTCTTAATAATTATACCATTTTTACTGAAACCTATGTAGTTTTATGTGATATCCTTTTGTCAGAATCCACATTAAAACCTAAATAATTAAAAGTTAGTGCTTGTTCAAGATTTTGTTCATATTCTGCAGTTTTAAATGTTATAGGGGGTTTACTTTTGAAGGCTGTAAGTTCTATTTTTTTAAAACATATGGATAAAATCAGATTTTGATATTTTGTTGTTTGCATTGTCATCCCATTGAAGTTACAGAACAACTTTTATGATATAGTTAACACATATGGGGGTCACAGAATTTGAGGCTAGTTTACTAGTAGTTACTGGACAGAACATATTGTAGTCTCACCTATCAAATTCCCATAATCGTCAAATGAATTTGAATTTTATTTAAGGTGACGACTTCAAACAAATAATTCTAACTTAAGTAACACTGTTGGTCACCATATTATAGATATATGCCAAATTTATATGAGGTGGCGGTTGTTGTATAGTGGAGATCTTGCCCATCAGGCTGATTTCATGTTAGTCATAACTCATAACTTGTAAAAATGTTACAGTAAGTTTAATTCCAATTTCAGCACACATGTAAATCATTGTTATGCAGTTTCTCATTTACTCATGCTCTGTTATGAGTGAAACTGTGAGTTAAGTTAAGGTTCTTGAAAGTTATATATTTTTGGAATCCAGGCGTTGTCTCTTAAGGCGGTGTTGGGGTGGGGGCTGTCACGCTACTATGGTTATGAAATGCATAGCATTCTTGTACAGTACAGTAGTTGTCTCTGTTCTTAACTAATTAAGCACTGAATTTAATGTAATTAGTGCTGTATACAACATTAAGATTTATTGGCAGTGTCGAATAGTAAGGTTACTGAAAACCGTAACATAAATGAAAGCAATATGAACAAAATATTATCTAAGACAGTATTATTTTTGGAAATAAAATAAAGAAAGAAATTTACTTCTTCAATGTGAAACCTGTGCTTGTGTTTTGCTGCATAAAAACTTAATTCTGGGTCAAACTTTGGATAATCACACGCGGAGTCCATCATCAACTGAAATGAGACATTTTCTTTCTTTGCTCTTGATACTTGTTAAACAAGAAGAAGTGTCCTCATACATATAAGAAGTTGAAAACTGCAGCAGTATGTTCATTGCTTTCCTGTGAATGGAAGGATACTCTTCTTTCATAGAAATCCAGAACTTGTTCAGGGATAGGTCAGTATATCTCATTTTGAGTGCACAATCAGACTGCAGCACACAGAGGCCTTCCCTTTTAAAGTCAATTTTTTGGGCTGAGAATATGATTCAGAATAAGGATTTCTCACTCAGTCATATGCTTGTGTTGAAAGGGAGGAAAAATAATGTTTAATATTTGTTCTGTAGTTCTTCAAGGTGGTTTTCAATAAGACTTGAGACTTGCTGATATCCTTTTTCACTCTGAAGCCCCAGCATCAATGGAAACATTTCAAGATGCCCTTTCACAACACGATTTTTCCAAAGGTTCAGTTTCCTTTTAAATTCAAGAATTTTTCTCACTTGGTCGAAACATTTTCTCCAGGACCTTGCACAGATTTGTTCAGTTGGTTCATGTGAGGAAATATGTCTGCTAAGTAGGCTAGTTTGTCAGCCATTTTTCATATTCAAAGCAGTTCGCAAAATCTAGTATACTGTTTTCTTGGAAGTAATCCTGCAGTTCACCTCTCAGCTCAGACACCCTGTTGAGAACTCTTCCATTGGTAAGCCACTGGATTTCTGTATGTAGCTGAAGATTTATGTGATTTTTGACCAGGTTTTCACACAGTTTTTTAAACATTCTAGAGTGAACTGGTCTTTGATAAGGATAACCACTTTTGTAGCATCCAAAACGTTTTTCATTTCATCTCTCACGAGTTTTTGAAACCAGTACCTCTCTGTAAATATGCGTAAAACAGTATGTTGTGACAGTGTCAGGATTTTCTTTTTAATGGAGCCAACCATTGATGGAGCACTATTACTACACATATCTCCCAAGACAGAACATTTGCTTCCATATATGAAGACAAGACATTAAATTGTTTGTATCAGACAGCTGCTTGCAACAAAAAACATTTTCTCGAATTTCACCATCATTTACAAATCTTACAAATGCTATGACAAAATTAAGAGGCGATTGAACTCAGGTAATGCTTGCTACCATTCAGTCCAGAACTTTTTGTCTTCTTGTCTGTTGTCCAAAAACATAAAAATTAGAATATACAAAACTATAATTTTGCCTGTGGTTCTGTATGGGCGTGAAACTTGGTCTCTGACATTAAGAGAGGAACATAGACTGAGGGTGTTTGAGAACAGGGTGTTGAGGAGAATATTTGGACCGAAGAGAGGTGAAGTGACAGGGGGTTGGAGAAAACTGCATAATGAGGAGCTTCATAACTTGTACACTTCTCCAAGTATAATTAGAATGATCAAGTCAAGGAGGATGAGGTGGGCAGGTCATGTAGCACAAATGGGGGAGAGAGGAATGTGTATAGGATATTGGTGGGAAAGTCAGAAGGAAAGAGACCACAGGGAAGACCAAGGCGTAGGTGGGTGGACAATATTAGAATGGATCTTAGATAGGATGGGATGGTATGGATTGGATAGATCTGGCTCAGGATAGGGACCAGTGGAGGGCTCTTGTGAACGCTGTAATGAACCTTTGGGTTCCATAAAATGCTGGGAAATTCTTGAGTAGCTGCAGAATTGGCGGCTCCTCCAGAAGGGCTCAGCTCCATGAGTAAGTAAGTAAGTAAGTAAGTAACAAATGCTACGACGTATGTATAAGGGGTGGGCCTTCTTGACTCTTGCATCGTGACCACAGTGATCTGTTGTGCCTTTGCTACAACATAACTTTTATTGGTGAAGTCTGTTGACTCATCAACCTGGATAGAGAAACTGTTATTTTTCAGGTCATCACACAAAATCTCTTCAGCATCGTGTGACATGTCATCAGTATGTGTATTTATCGTGTTGTTTGAAATTGGAGCATTTTCAATTTCTTATACTGGATTTTACCCACCATAATTTTACATGCTGACATTATTAGGTTGTCACCAACTATGTGACTTTCATTTCGTTTTCTGGGCAGTAAGTTCTGCTATGAAATAACTTGCTTCCTGAGCCTTTTCACCAACTGTGACTTTACTAACAAAAGCTTTGTTGTGTTTGTTTTGAGTGTCCAGTAGCTGTTTAAAAATAGCACTTTTACTGGTCATGTGGCTGCAATTTGAATTTAAATGTCTTTAATTTTTTGGAGCCGTTGGTGCATTTGTAAGTCGTTTGTCACAGACAGGACACAATGGAATAGGACAGCTTGAATCACCAGTCCTTGCGAAGCCCATTGATAAGTAGCTTACATTGTTGCGACAGAACCTTTGCTGTATCTGTTTGTGTGCTAATGCAGTGAAATTTGTCAGAAAGTCTTCACATGGAACCATGAGACATTTCTATAAAACACAAGAGTAGAATGGCATAATAGATAACTAAATGAGAAGACTGCAAAAAAAAAATCGAAAAACTTCACAGTGCTTCTGACCTACAAAATCCACCTTATGCAGTGTTCACAACAAGCATGTGCAGTATTCCTCCATGACAGTGTTGCTAATCACAAAGTGCCAGTCCTCCGTGCATGCCTGCCTCCATTTGTTCCACCCTCCCATGTGAGATACTGCAAAAGAATGAAAATGACTATGAGCTGTTGCCAGTCACTGGCCCAGTGATCATCTTCCAAAACAAGTTTTAGTATAAAACCTGTAAATGACTATGATGCATCTTCATTAAAATCATTCAGAAGAAATTCTGTTTTCCACTTTTATTAATGTTATTTTGTTTAGAGCATTTTTAAGTTGTGGTCTAGTGGTCAAGAGTTCCTGGCTACAGACCCAGAGGTCCAGGTTCGATTCCCGACACTGCCAGATTTTCTGAGAAGTACTGGGTCTGGTCCACTCAGCCTCGTGAATATAATTGAGGAGCTATTTCAAGGAAATCGCGGCTCCGGTCTAGAAAACCGAAATTATCCGCTAAAGTTGGCACTATCTTCGTTGACAAGCGGCGGTCGTTCGGTTGGTATAGTTCACTTGTGGGCTCAAGTTACGGAGTTTATTAAGATACACGTATATGTATTTATTGTCGCGTGTTTGCTATGCATTGCAACAAGAATTTTTTTGGGTTCTCGGATTTGAACGAATATTTATTGGACAGTCACTTTTACACTCACATTTACAGTTATTTTCCACTTACAATGTCCTTTAGACGTTTCTTCTTTAATGT